GACAAACTATTTGTGAAGCAAGGCAGATGTTTAAGAAACTAAGCCAAAGAAGGCAAAGATATTTATACCTTTACACACATCACATTGACTCCCATTCCTTCAGCAAAAACAAATCACATGGCCAAGATCTTCAACAATGGCTCGGCATGCTCTTGGGAGAAATAGTACAATGTCCTTGGTATAGGGATTGAGCATGAAGTTCTATAACAGGGAGGCAGTGCAAATTAGGAACTATTTTTAATGCACTGTTTAGAACACCTATGCTTTAATTGAAAGAGAAAGAGATGAACAAATCAGAATCATATGTATGAGGACAGTTACCCCTAAACCGGGTGAAACTGTAAATTTTGAAAAAGTAATTCACAGAATCCACAGTTGAACCTGATAGACTCTGCTTCCTTCTCTAAGACAAATACAAGCCATGTATCCACCAAAGCCCTTCTGGCAGTACCTTAGACACTCTGAACACCTCACGTCTACCATCTGCTAGAAACATTCATACTTTCATTCTTTATTTAGATCATTATTTACAGATCAGGTTTCTGCCAAGATGCTACCTTTGTATGAAGCTGTTTCCTCCCTCTTCACGTCCCCAAATTTAAGTCAGAACATAATTACAACATTTTGCAGTATTTTTCAGGCCCGTTACTCTGCTTTATTTCACCCATCACATTCTGCAGCAATATGGTTTTGTTTTAATGTCTTTTTCAGGAGCCACTTGAGGGCAAGACTGTGACTATGTTTCCACCACTGGAATCATCATACCATTATTTGTTGATTCAATATTTGTTGACTAATTTTTTTTTACAAATACAATTTCTTGTTACCAGAGGAAGTTCAGGTTTTGATCACCTATGCTAAAGCAAACATATCTGCTGAAATAATAAGAAAACCAGGTCATCAAGCATGCTAATTTGAAAGCCTTTACCATTGTGTTGTTTATTATGACAGCCACTAGTTTTGTAAGGCTATTTAAATAAGTTTATTCATATTAATTAAAATTTAAAATCAGTTCCTCTGTTGCACTTGCCACATTTCAAGTTCTCAGGAGACTATGGGACTAGCAGAGTTCACACTGGACAAAAATAAAGAAATTTTTTTATCATAGCAAAAAATGCTATTGGACAATCTTGTTTTAGAGGAAATACTCAAATAATGTAATAAAATTCTTCCTCTTAAGTTATTCTAAATGAGTATGAAGCTTCCCCAATTGATTTCTTTCTTTCTTTTTTTTTTTTTTTTTTTCTGGTACTGGGGATCAAACTTGGGTCCTTGCACTTGCAAAGCAGGCGCCAAAACCACAGAACTAAATCCCCGGCCTGCCCCAATTGATTTCTAAGGATTGGTTTAGACACCACAAGACTCAGATTCAGTTTAGCCAAAGCACACTTGCACAGTATACAATGCCTTAAGAGGTATTTGAAACAGAATTTCATAACCCTTCTTAAGTTTTGAAAAAGTATTTTCCACTGATGTTTGTAAAAATGATAATATACTTGACTAAGGCAAGCTCATTATTTGTCCTTGCTAACAGGTTTGCAAAAACCACACTATCTGTGATTCTCTCTGCTGCTTTTTGCCCATCATATCCTGATCTTAACTGAAATGCATCGACTATCATCTCCTTACTTCTCATTTTATGTCTCTTTTGTTTTCCTCATGTGTGCTAGGGTCCATCTCTTTTAAATTCTTGCTTGGAAAATTTGCAGCTAGCTTCTGGTGATTTCCTTGCCAGTGCATTATAAAACTAATTGATAGTTAAACATAACCTTACTGAGTCACCGTCTGCTTAAGTACTTTAAGGTTCAGACTCATGACAGTCTGTGTTCACCTTACCTCTCTATTACTGTTCCCTTCCCTTCCAACTGCCATAGCCGAATTCACTTACTCGCTCTCTACCAAGCACACAAAGCCACTCTGCCTCTGCACACTTGTCTCTCTCCAGGTGCCCACGTAGAGTTCTTTTGCTTCGTCAAGTAACCCTAACTCCCATTGCCTCTTCTTTTCAATAACTTTCAAAAGTACTCTTATTTATAACACAATGTGATCAAAAAATAGTGTTTAAATTTAAAAATTCTTTCAATTTATTACAGTAAAAGACATATTGCCATTAGTCCCTCTCAAAATATTCCTGCTTGAGCCAGGGATTTAGCTCAGTGGTGCTGCTGCCTGCCTTGCAAGCACAAGGTCCTGAGTTCGATCCCCAGTAGAACAGAAAAAAATATATATATAAAATATATATATTTCCCCCCTTGCTTCAAACACATGTGTCCAACCATTCTTGCCACTTTCCGAAGCAGTTCTGGAAGTCTCCTTTCATGTGTGCCTTTTCTTGGCTGCCTCGATGTCCTGAATAGATTCAAAAGGCAATGGCAATGTCTGTCAAATAAAAACATTCTAGTGTGCTATTTACTTTATTCCATGAATTTGGCACCATGCAACTGTTAGCCGTTCTCCAAAGTCAAAATAACCCAAAAAGCTAAATATTTTGGTAAACACTGAATTGATTCAGAACACGAAGGCAGCCCCAACAATACAACTAAGACACTCAGGAAAGAAGACTTTCAGAACTGCTTCCAGAAGTGACAGGAATGATGGCACAGATATGTTCAAAGTAAAGGGGAGGATGTTGAGGGGAATTAATGGCATGCACCTTTCGCTGTAATATTTAGTTTAAATATTTAGTGTATTTTATCCTCCTTATATATTGCCTTTTTAGTTTTAAATAATGCACCGCCTGTGTCATCTATTACATTATGTCATCATCAATTTTTTTCTTAAATAGCCGTATGTTGACATTTTATTTTTCTCCTGCCATGAAATAAGCTCTGTAGATTAGGGAATTGTTATTGCTTTTTTTGTCCCCATACAATGATATAATGTATTAATAACATGAGAGTAAGAACGGGAGAGGAGAGAGAGAGAGAGGATAAATAAAAATAAATATATATTATCGGTAATACGTATGCCTATTTGTGCGTACATGTGTATAAACATACCATGAACGGATGAATGAGTCCTATTGCAGTTCACAGGTTTCTTTGACTTCTTACAATATTTCTCATTTTTATTGTATATATCCAGTATGTCATATAGGAAAACCGCGTGTCATGGCAGAAACCGCTTAACAACGTGAGGCTTAAAACCTCCAGGCAAAGGCAATTACTTCCTTCAAAATGTCATCTTACTCGATCTCTTCCTTTTTCCATACAGCTTTCTTCATTAAAAACAAAAGTTTTAAAACTGAATTTCTGTGGCCTGAACTTATTTGGGAAGAAAACACACTTCCTTTGCTAATCAGAGACTGAAAAAAAAAAAAACAACAACACATAAAAGAATGACAACACCATGTCAGTGTTCAATGGAAGACATAACACAAATGAAACATCTACCCTCACTTAATTCAAACCAAAACTTTTAGTTTAATGCATACAGCAGCTGTAGAATGGATAGGACACCGAAATATAAGAAGTCATCTTGCGGCCACTTTTGGCTCTCAGTGAATCCCTTCCAGCATGATGTTGACCGCTAGCTCTTCTAAATTTCTGTTCTTAAGTTCTTTGAAGGAAGGCACTATAGTCAATCCACAAGTATTCATACTGAGGCTAAAGAACAAGACATGTAGATAATGCCAAGTAATACATAATAAAATTATTAAAATTGTATATTAAAATATGTTTTATATATATGCCAAACTTTCTAGGAATTCTATCTTAAATAAAAGCCCAAAAGCACATTTTTGAAGGCCACAGAGCATCTATAAGTTGTCTCAAATCTTCCATTCCTGTTTTTCTTTCCCTTTCTTCTCCCACTCTCACCGGCAGAGAAATTGGTAAAATATCTACTTCTTCTCAAATTTCCCTGCTTAAAAAAAGTGGAAATGGCCAACCATTTCAGTTTCAAAGGACTTTCCTGAGTAAAAAGTACAGTTGAGATGTGAACAAGCTTACTATCGAGCATGTTTAGCAAAATCAACTGAGTCAGTTTTGTCTGTAATCCACCCTCCCCCTGACGTTTTTATCCAGAATTTTAGTTCTCCTTGTTTAAAAAAATCACTACTTTGCTTATAGTCAATAATAATTACTGATACAGGGGCTGGGGATTTAGCTCAGTGGTGCTGCTGTCTGCCTAAGGACCTGAGTTTAATCCCTGGTGTGAAAATAATAATAATAATAATAACAACAACTGATACAATCTATGAATTTAATTGCAATTGCTTTTTAGAACATTCTTCTCCTTAGATATTACCTTCATTGAAGGATCCTGAGTGGTAAACCCAGTTTGGGCACATCTACAGATAGGATCTTTTGAAATTCACTCTTACTAACTTCAGGGACAGAATGTGATCGGTAAACTGTCTTGTTCTTTCTAAATTTGAAAATATGCTCATTTCATAATCACACACAAGTGACAGGTTAGCTCGACACCGAATTCTAACTTCTTTCCTTTTCACTTTAAAGCTACTACCCCATTATTCCGAAGCATCTATTTTGAAAGCTGAGATGCTGGCCATCAGCCTAGTCACCATTCCATTACAAGTAACTCATCTTCTTTCTCTCTGGTAACTTTTCAAATTTTTCAGTGTTTCCTTGATGCTCTGCAACTTTTTTGGTTTTTTTTTTTTTTTTTGGTACCTGAGATTAAACTCAGGTCCTCGCGCTTGCAAGGCAGGCCACCGAACCACTGAGCTAAATCCCCGGCCCCTGCAACTTTGATTTTAATCTTTCTGAATTCATTTTATTTCATCCTTTCAGTACTTGGTATTCACTTTCCACTTAAAGACTCGTACCTTTTTAGTATTATTGAAAACATCAGTGATGATTCATTTTAATAATTCCTCTCAATATCTCTCCCCTCTTTAAAAATTATATATGGGGGGCCATTTTGTGAAGAGACCAAGACTGAGCGGTTGAGGCCGCGTTGACGACCTCGAGCAGCAGTCTACTTCTCATAGAACCTGGGAGCAGGAGATTCGGAATCGAATCTCTTATCTCTCTTCTGTGAGATTTTTTTTGATCTTCAGCTACAGTTTTTGTCTTTGTTGCCAACTTTATCATCAAACACGATGGCTAGCAATGTTACCAACAAGACAGATCCTCCCTCCATGAACTCCCGTGTGTTCATTGGAAATCTCAACACGCTTGTGGTAAAGAAATCTGATGTGGAGGCGATCTCCTCAAAGTATGGCAAAATTGTGGGTTGCTCCGTTCATAAAGGCTTTGCCTTTGTCCAGTATGTTAATGAGAGAAACGCCCGAGCTGCTGTAGCGGGAGAGGATGGCAGAATGATTGCTGGCCAGGATTTAGATATTAATCTGGCTGCAGAGCCAAAAGTGAACAGAGGAAAAGCAGATGTGAAACGATCTGCCGCGGAGATGTACGGGTCAGTACCAGAACACCCTTCTCCGTCCCCTCTGCTCAGCTCCTCATTTGACTTGGACTATGACTTTCAACGTGATTATTATGACAGGATGTACAGTTACCCAGCACGTGTTCCTCCTCCTCCTCCTATTGCTCGGGCTGTAGTACCCTCAAAACGCCAGCGTGTATCAGGAAACACCTCACGAAGGGGCAAAAAGCGGCTTCAATTCTACGAGTGGACAGCGGGGATCTTCTTCCAAGGCTGGAAAGTTGAAAGGTGATGACCTTCAGGCCATTAAGAAGGAGCTGACCCAGATAAAACAAAAAGTGGATTCTTTACTGGAAAGCCTGGAGAAAATTGAAAAGGAACAGAGCAAACAAGAAGTGGAGATGAAGAGTGATAACTCAGAAGAAGAGCAGACCAGCACCTCCCTGGAGAAAGATGAGACTAATGTGAAGATGGAGTCTGAGGGTGCTGCAGATGACTCTGCTGAGGAGGGGGATCTACAGGATGATGATGATGATGATGAAGATCGGGGAGATGACCAGCTGGAGTTGATCAAGGATGATGAAAAAGAGGCTGAAGAAGGAGAGGATGACAGAGACAGCGCCAATGCAGGTAACCCTTGACTAGAAAATCAACTGGATATGTAGAAGAAAATTTCAGAAGCCCAAGATACTAATAAAACCTGTTGAACATTAAAAAAAAATTATATATGCTCAGGGCCTTTCAATTTATCTGCTATTAATCTTTCTTCTAAGATTTTACTGGTTTTTTTTCAGTCTGTGCAGCATTATGGGTTAATTTCTCAATAATCTCATTAAATTCATAAATTTTATTTTTACTGTGAATAACCAGTGACAATATTTTTATATTTGAATGATGATATGAGTTTCTCATATCCAGAATTTCCAACCAATATTTTCCATACCTATTGCCTAGGAGTGAATGTGCATTCTGAATATTGACCTTACTGGCTGTGTGCCTAAGCACCGTAGATTTCAGACTTATTTTGAGGGCTGGGGAGTTTAGGGTTACCAGTCACCCTGACATTCTTAGAACTCATAGTGTTCCTAGATCATGGGGATTTCAGGGCTAGAACTGGAAAAGATTCACCAAAACCAAGAAGAGTCAGTGTGAGGAACATTTGCTTTCCTGTCCTGCTTCATTTTCCCCATCCTGGCTCAGCATTTTAACTTTCCATCAGTCCGGGAGCATGGAGCTAATACATCCGCCGTGAACTCTTCTTTTGGCAGATGAGGGCTCTCAGTCCTCCTAAACAATACACTTTCAGAACCAGAAAAAGCCCCGGGCTCCACCCCAGTTGCAGGGCTCTCTTTTCTGCAGCTTTATAAAGCCTAAAATATATGCATGGATCGTGGCGCCTTTTTCATGTCAAAAGGACACCAACACCACGTGCAGTCTCACCCAAGGATGCAAATTCACTCCTAAGCAGAAGGTGGCACCATAGCTGCCCACCCCAAGAGACAGCCTCTCACCTCCCTCCCTATTTTCTGACCAGGAGCACAGGGGGTCCTATAGCTCTCCAGTACCACATTGCTGTTCTTCACCTTCTCTTTCCGTTTGCAAATGCCTAAGGTTTTCCAATACTCAGTGACATTATCTAGTATTTGACTCCAAAACAGAAGGTAGCATTTAAAGTTCAGTTTCACGGAAACATTCTGCCCAAGATTCTCTGTTGCGAAAGTTAGACATTGAAACACCCTGCCAGTGTAAAGCCTTGCAGAGTGCTTCAAACCACTTTATGGCCACTGACTCCTTTCAGCATTTTCCCTGCCCCTTCTAATTATGCAACAACTACTTCATATATAAGTGGAATTTATCAACTCTTGGAAGTTTAGTTATTCATCAATTCCAAGTAGTAAAAATACAGCTGAGAGTCAGGATTGAGAAAGACCACTTGGCAAGTCATGAAAACAGGTGTGTCAAAGTTTATAGAAGAAATTACAGGCCTATTATCCACAGGAATATTTATAACTCATCAGCATGTGGGGTCCTTGGGGAGGGAGGTTGTATGCATCTTTATATCCTGTGCACTACCTGTCACATATTAGGGACTCACATTTTAACTGAAGTTGTTTGAACTACAAGGAGAGTTCCTTGGGCCTTTACTTGGAGGCCAATTATTTTCGCTTTATAAATATTTGCAACATGTTTGACAGCACACATGAAGACAAATACAAGCAACAGAGAAAACAGAATAAAACATTAAATGCAGACAAGGAACTTGAACAGAATAGGGCAGATGTTTACATTTTAATAGATCCTGAGAGCATCACTGTGTTATGGCATGATGTAAAAATTAAAATGTATGCTGATTCTTTGATTCAGGAAAGAAAAGATTAAATTACACAAGTTTGCTTTGCTTTAAAAAGCAGAGTAGTGAAACAGATTTTTAGAATGATTCCCATAAATAATGGGTAAATTTTTTAAAGAGGTGTTTATGCTTGAAGGTATTAAACCCTAAACTGTGAGGAACATTCAGCTGTTGCAAACAATGCCTTCTTTGAAAATTGAAACAGTTGAAATCTTTTTGTATAATGAAATCTCAGTTACCCACCATTAGGATGGGATGAACAGTTCCAAAAAGCATTTTCTTCCTGCTAATAATTGCTTAACTCCTTCAAGCAAACCATAATGCTACCCTAGGTGGTAGTTGAGCTGCAATATTTTTGTCCCCACACTTCCTTCAGGAATGCAACCATGCCTTGAGAACTACTAGGTTAGAGGAGCTTTTTCCTCTGCAAAAATGTTTAGCCTCTCTTCCCGCCATGGGTTTTCCTCTACATTGCTTGTCCATCTCAGCATCCTATTTGATCCCCAAGTCTGCCTCTGACCTCCTGCCTTCAGAGCAGCCACCACTGAAATTCTGTCCACTCGTTTCCCTATTTTGTGATTGCTCTAGGAGGACTAGTTCAATGAGACATCCTATGAGATACAGCCAACAAGGTGCCTAGCTTGTGGCCAATATAATTCTCATACTATCATTTCATGTTGTGGAAACAGAACTTGGAAGGTCAGTATCAAGCCCATCTGGATAGAAAGTGAATTTATTTCAAGCCTAAATTATTCCAAAAACACCAGGAGTCTTCACCTCAGCCTAACATTACTTGTCATCTCTCATCAACACTGCCTCATTGAAAGTAAGTAGGAGAGTGTTTATGTGGGATACTGAGAAAAAAAGAAGATGCATGTGGAACAGGAAGAAAATGGCAAGAAAAGAAAACCAAAAAAGAGGATGAAGAAAAGGAGGAGAAAGAAGGAGGAAAAAAAAAAAAGAAGAGGGGGAGGGGAGGAAGAGGAGGAGGAAGAAGAAAGAAAAGCAGAAAGATATGTGAGCTTTGACTTCTAAATATCTGAGACATAAAAAGGACTTGTTATGGTTGAGCTTGATTGGTTAAACTTGATTAGCTTGGGAGCCTCTGAGGGTATAAGTAAAGCACACTTCTGGATGTGCCTGGGTGGATCACAACTTGTGGCCTTGGGTCCTGCATCTGACCTTTCTCATCTTCCTCTCTGGCACTGATCCCTTGCTCTGCTTTCTGTCTTCCATCTTCGCTCTGCCACGCCCTCCTGCCATGATGTTTCTCCCTTGAAGCCAGCTTGCTATGGACTGAATCCCCTGAAATCATGAGCCAGGCTGCACCTCTCATCCTTTCACTGTGGGTGTTGAGTATTGCATCTTTAGTTCACTGCCTCAGTGTCCTGAATCAACTCAGACCCTTGCCTTTCGTGATTATTTTGACTTTGGGAAAGAGCGAGGAGCCTCACAGTGCCAGATCTTGTGAATAAAGTGGAAGAGGACACATCCTAATGCTTTTATGAGACTGCATTTCCATTGTATGGCACTGGGCCGGAGCATAGCATCGACCATATTTTTATCACACCTCAAAGAAGAGGACTTCCAGAACTGCTTCAGAAAGTGACAAGGTAAGTGTGTTCAAAGCAAGGAGTATTTCGAGGGGTCTTAATAGCAGTGTATCTTTTACTGTAATCAAGTTTTTAATTGAAATAATCATCATTTATTTTTATCGTGTCTTGTAGGTTAAATACCTGAGTAATCCATAAGTAGAAGGCCATATAAACAGTAAAAATGGACAAACTAGATATATCTGTATCAACGTAGACATCACATTGAAAACTTTCTAAAGAATGAGAAATTCAAGTTTTAGAGAGAATAATGCAGATTTAAAAAACATAAGAAAAAACTGTAAATTATGGAACTGTGCATTTGTATGCTCTTGGGAATACAGAATAGTTTCAAGAGGGAAGAAAAGAAAGGAATAAGTGCTCTATTCATAGCACTTTTTTCAAAAACAAAAGGTCTGAAATAAATATGTCAAAAATGCAACTCTGAAATCTAGGTAATAAACACACAAGGAAAGCTACATTATTTCTGTACCTTTCTAGAGGCCTGAAACATTTCATAATTCATCATTAAAACTCCAGGTAACACATACAGACTAATTCTTCATATTTAAAATTATAAACATAAATAGGAAGATTACAGAAAAATACACCAAATTAAACAGCGATGTCAATGAAATGAAAGAATTAATAAACTATTCTCTTTTTTCCCTGGTCCAAATTTTGTTCACTGAATGTATATTACTAAAAATTGTATTAAAATGTGTTGACTAGACTATGAAAATTAACTAGTAGTTGTTCTTATCTTTTAGTAGGAGAAATTTTGTCTTTTTTAAGTGATAAAATAAATGACTCATTCCTTTTGAGGCTGCACACTGGTAATGAATGCCTTTAAATTTAGCATTGTAAATATTGAATGCAGCACTTACAATAACTTAATGAGTCAGTATTTATTTACACAGTCGAGCCAATGCTTCTAAAATAGTTTTTGCTGCTGTTTTAAAAAATATGCTACTGCAACTTTTGGTCATCCCAAATGCTTTTTTCAAGAATTGTGTTCTTCCCAGCTTAAGGGTTTAAAGAAAAATGCCCAGCTGCAAGCCGCGTCCCACTGGGAAATCCTTCACATTGTCAAGTGAAACACTAAGCAAATGTCTTTTTCTCAGTTATATTAAATGGTTCTGCTTTTCTAAAGGCCAATAAGTGCCTTGAAACATTTTCACAAAGTGAGAATGAAAAGGGATCTTAGAAACTCACTCACTGAACCCACAGTTTTTAAAATGTGGGACTGACTTGCAAGATTAACTAGGGATGGGCAGAGCTACCACTACATGCCAAATGTTTTGTGTTTGCGCCTGTCTGAGCCACCAAACTGGAGGGAGGGACTTCAAAGACAGAAAACTCAGCCATCATAAAGGAGGTAGTTGTTCTATGATAAGGGAAGTTTGAGAAACACTGTAGTGCCTAAAAAGCATTAAGATGGTGATGGGAAAGTGTCAAGAAATAAACACACATGTTTTTACCAAAGACTCTATTTGTAGTAATTTCTGGCTGTCTCTCTGACCTTCTCCCTTTACCTGTCCCTTCTCCTCCTCTTCCTCCTTATTATCTTAGTTGGCGGGAGAATAATACTTCACATCCCAGTAGACATTTAAAATAAAATGCCACCTCCTCAATCCGCCCAATCTGTTCCTCAAGTTGTCTCTCAATGACTAAATCTCCCAGCTTAATTCTTAGCCATTCAAAACAAAATACCTCCAACAAATGTTCTAGAGAAAGCTTTTTATCCTAGGCATGACCTCGTG